GTCACTCTGGTCATGTTTCAGAGGAGTCACATGCTTAATGAAGTCATTAAATCGTTGTTGTTTTGTAATGAATATTTTCATCTTTACCTCAGAAAAGTGATTCACATCTTCGAGTACGCAAGCAAAGCTTCAGGAAAGATCAACCCCAGGGATGATGCTGGTTGTTCCAGACAGTGCATGTTTGTTCATGCCCACTGGATGAATGCGTGCATAATGACATGTTTCATAAGATGTTTCTGGATAATTTTTTTGCCACTTTGGGAGACAAAGAGGGTGTGGATATTTGTAATGTAATATGTGCACAAACATAAAGGGTGTGTGTAAATAAATTATGCAACATTAAAATAAAATAGCAAATATTGTTAAATACAACTCCATCACAATAAATCGCGATTAATCATTTGACGGCACTAATATACAGTAGCCTATATATATATATATATATAAGCTAATTGTTATGATTATAATTTGCTAATTATCAGCAATATTGGGAATGGATAACGGATGGGGACAGTGGGGACAGTACATCCAAAATTTTATTCACTACATTTCAAATTCACTTTAAAAGACTTACCAGGCTGTCAATGAAATCAGCCTTTTTTTCTACATATTTCAAGCGTCTTGTTCTGTTGTATTTTTAATTGTGATACAGCCACTGACAGTATTATGTTCTCCACGCTAGAGGTCGCTCTTTCCATAACCGGCTGTCTGCACCAGTCTTCACTATCAGCGTGTTCTTCTCAAAAACATTAGAATGAAATGTGAAAAACGGGCGGGGTTTAGTGGCTCAGACGTTTTCTCTTATTGGTCAAGTATTATGTGTCTAAATAATAATAGTCATATTTAAAATCTTCACCCTTTTAATATCAATTCATTGGCTATTAAAGTTTATTAGTGCCATTATTCAGTTGCAAATTATTGTCCAGGCCGACGCTGAAGAAGCACATAAACTCGTGATGCGTGTTACTTTTCTCATCAATGGTTAGGATGCACCATTCACAGTCGAATGTGATTACTGGATAAGATTTTTCGAATGTGATTTTATAGAAATTACTGTGGTGAGTTAGTCTGCTTGTTTCTCAGATAACAATCCTTGAAATGAATTTATTTAATATTTTATACTTTATGGCGCACAAATATCATCAATAACTCAAAATGCGTTCAGAGATTTGAATGTGACTCAATGGACGCTTGAGTTTTCTGAGCCACCAAACGCCCCTCAGAGGTGTCTAATATGAAAGTTAATAGTAACGTTAGTCGTCTCATGGTTCGTGTTGTGCGTGCAATTTTGTCTCAAAGCCGATGGCACCCTCTTCCATTGGCTCATGACAGCAACTGAGTGGATGTAATACATATTTCATCTTCTGCTCTGCTGGACTAAATCTAACGTTACACAATCTGTGTGACAGAAGTCGGCACAACACACGCAGGTAGCTGTTACTTTCCTTTCATTCTGTTAGATAGCTGTGTGTTCATAGTCATGTGGCAAAGTATCAGCATGTATTGCACATGTACTGCTGCTTTGTTGTCCATGTTTGACCTATCAAATGTTTTTCAAATGACAAATGAGTTAATACGCTTATTTGAGAGTAGGGAACTATTGTGCACTTGAACTTGCGTCTCTGCACGGCTGTGGTCATTTTACAAGGTCCTTCAAGGTCCACATATGTTTATTAAAGTTTTAATTTATTGCACCTTCTCAGTACTGTCCTCTTTTCATGTTCCTGTGATCCTGCAATAGTGCCACGAGTCTGGTGCATGAGGGTCAGACTCATTCCTCTTATGTGACAACTGTAACTTACAAGAAATTAATATGGTTGTGCTGTTTTATTAAGGAACTACATCAAATAAAGGGGTGCACCACCATACCAGATATTCAGTGTGCACTTGAACTTGCGTCTCTGCACAGCTGTGGTCATTTTACAAGGTCCTTCAAGGTCCACATATGTTTATTAAAGTTTAAATTTATTGCACCTTCTCAGTACTGTCCTCTTTTCATGTTCCTGTGATCCTGCAATAGTGCCACGAGTCTCGTGCATGAGGGTCAGACTCATTCCTCTTATGTGACAACTGTAACTTACAAGAAATTAATATGGTTGTGCTGTTTTATTAAGGAACTACATCAAATAAAGGGGTGCACCACCATACCAGATATTCAGAAATATGCTCAGGTCAAGCATGCACTTTATTAGTGTTTTTAACATTTTATTGTATTAATTAAATTGATTATTTACACATTGGCAAGAAAATGAACTAGGCTGTAAATAAAGCAATAAACATGGTTCTTAACAGAATGGAAATAAATGCTTACATTGGGGTGTATAATCTAAATTATGTAAATAAGTTTATTTCATTTTTATCAAACAGAGTCTAGGATTTTAAAGTGACAAACCAGCTAATAAGTCAAACCTCACAGAATTGATCAAGGCATATCAATACTTACAGATGTCTGTTGTTGTTTCACACCAGAAATAAGTAAAATTGAGGACATGGGGAAAAGCCTGTGACATTATTACAAGTACAACCATATTCCCAATAAAAAAATAAAACAAATATTCCCAAAACATTTCTGGTTCGAAACAGCTTTGTAGTTACAATATTTAAAATTCACTCATACTGTAAGTTCACTTAATTATTATATTGTTATAAAACAAATATAAACAAAACTTTTAAAATGTATTGAGGAAATGGAAACTTAATGCATGACAGTAATGATCCATGAGTCAGATTTCATGCTCAGTCATTTCCTTAAGTGTATATGTAAAAGTAGTTTAATTTTTTTTCCCAAATTTGGTGTTTTATGTTTTCATATTTCTGGATTGCATTTAAATGGGTTAATTAAACTTTTAATTTAAAATGTTAAATTTAACAACGTAGTAAATCTTTTCAAATGTATTTAAATAAATATATACATATACTTTATATATACAAATAGTATTTTTCTTTTCTTTTTTCTTTAAAAAGCTACACAAAGGAGTTCTATTATAACTAATAAAGTTTTTGACGCTTTGTGAGATTATGAATAGGAGAAGGATATCATTCCAGAATTTCCCAACCTGTCAGACTACTTCCTGGACACGCCTCCTTTTCTAGCAAAGGAACATCTCCGAACAGAAAGAGGAAGTGCTTTAATCTCATTCTCTGATTCTGTGTGTGTCTGCTGGTGAGTACGTGTCATTTCGGGTTGTTTATATGTATATTTTTCTGATTTTCTTGCTGTGCAGAGTGACATTTAACCCTCAATGATTGTGCGGCAGTTGACGTGTAGGGGGCTGACCTCTCACCTCTGTGCGGCAGTCAGACTGAACTGGAGCGCTCCAAAGATGGCTAGACCAAGCTCAAGTAAAACACTTTTAAGACTGTCTTCACTGTGTATGTATGGCAGTGGATGGCCTGTGAATTAAATGGTTTGCAATTTGTTTCATTTTGCAGATTTAACAATGTTTCATGAGGATTTTGCTAAAGCCAAGCACATTGCTATCATTACGGGGGCCGGAGTGAGTGCAGAGAGTGGAGTACCAACCTTTAGAGGACAGGGGGGCTACTGGAGGAAATGGCAGGCACAGGTAACCCACACATATTGTATACACATCACACATTTTTTACTATCTGATCTTAGTTTCAATATAGGACTTATACCAAGGTTTTTCAAACGTTTTGATGCTAGGACTCAAATATGACAATCCCTTTGTGATGATCCCTTCTGTTGATAAATAAAGGCAGCTATATATAAAGGAGAATATTAATGTAATATTATTTTCCAAAATGACATTTTTAATATACCAAAACAAATAGTTAAAGGATTATCTTATTAAAATATTGTATTTTTAATTACGTTTACAATGTATGTGAATTTAACAATTATTTTTATTTTAGAAAATTATTTTGGGGGAAAAAAACTAGAAAAACAAAGAATATGAATTAATTACAATTAATGCATTGATTTCTGAAGTCTTTAAAAAGCATAATAAAATAGTATAACATTTTGTGAATGTGAATGTACCTTAAACAGATTTCATTAATATCCTAATGTTAACTTTGACAGCTCTAAAAAAATATATATTTCAAATTTTTCACAGACACATTTGAAAACCCCTGACTTATATAGTACTTGGCAGAGCATAACAGCGTAAGCACAGTGACTACAAGGCGATATCATGCTCCAATTGACAACATAACAACATAAAAAGTCTTTCTTTGTTATGTAAAACACCTCATTTGAAACGGTGTGAGACTTTGAAAAGTAGTGGAAAAGTTACAGTAGGGTACCAGTTGTATATTATACTGCATGACTTTTCTTTAATTTATGATTCAGAGTTATATACAAATGGGCCTGTAAAACATAGTTTACATTTTGCGTTGCAAATAATGACTGTAAACTTTCAACATCTATTGTATTTGACAGCTCTGACCAAATTTGTCAGGTTACCTGTAACAGAGCATATAAACGCTGTAGTCACACCACGTGTAAGCAAGCAAACATGAATAATAATAATAATAATTTTAATATATTAATATTAAATATTAAAATGAACAATTTAATCAAATGAAAATATAACAATTCTTTTACAACAGAACATTGATGTTTTATTTTTTAAGTGCCGCACAACAGAATATATATAGATAATTTTATTATAAATAGTACTCTAATACTTTTCTGTCATAATTCTTCAAGTTCTTAGTTTCACACCACATGTACATAAGCGAACATTAACAGGAGTCTCTCTTTTTTTCTCTGTCTTTCAGGATTTGGCAACCCCTGAAGCTTTCTCTCGAGATCCTTCTTTAGTATGGGAATTTTACCATTACAGGCGGGAGGTGGGTCACACATTGCTGACTAAATGGTTACCAATATCATAATGCCATTTGTTTCTTTCAGTGATCAATTCACTGTTATATTTATAAATTTGGTATAGTATAATATACATGCCTGGAATGCTATGTTTATACTTATAACTACTTTTCTTCTACTACTACTTTTTCTTCTATATGCATGTTTTGCATCCTTAGAATTGCAGTAAGGAATCTGAAAGAACGCCACTGTTTATTTCTGAGACTGAAATTCACACAGCATCCACATGGTTACTTTACAATAGTAGATCGGTTATGAGATGCGTGCTTGCATTATTATTATTTTTTTTTAAATAGTCTTTATTAATGTTGGCACAATACCAAAATTTCAATTGTAGGTACCAATATGAGAAAAAAACACTATATTATAATATATCAAACCTATCTAAAATGTAATGATATAATAATATATTTTAATTAACACTAACTGAAAAAAACGTATAAAATGCAAATAATTAAAAAAACTACTACATAAAGATGATTATTATTACATTTTGAAAATTTTACTAGCCACTTTCAGCATCACATGTCGTTATATATTTAAACACTGGGGTTGCAGTTAAACAATTAAGATGAATAATTAAACAAAAAATAATGTTTGGTTGCATCCTAATAACATCTTAATTGATTTCATTTTTCATATTGTAATTAATTGTATTTAATTTGGCAGGTTATGCGCAGTAAGATGCCAAACCCAGCCCACCTGGCTATAGCGGAGTGTGAGTCCCGTCTCAGCAAGCAGGGGCGCTCTGTTGTGATCATCACTCAGAACATCGATGAACTGCACCATCGTGCTGGTTCCAAACATGTCTATGAAATCCACGGTGAGACAACAGCTACTCAAACCAGGACACCATTACAGTACATTAATTATTGGTTGACATCTGATTAACAGAAATTAAATGGATAGGGCATCTATTTGGTTGGTGGGGCTTTTGTCCCATCTTTCCATACAATCATACCTTCAAATTGAGGATATTCCCTTCAACTGATCTCTCTCTCTTCTCTCTTTCTCTCTAGGTAGTCTATTTAAAACCCGCTGCATTAGCTGTGGAGAAGTCAAAGCCAACCACAAGAGTCCAATCTGTCCTGCTCTGGAGGGGAAAGGGTAAAAGCTCATGCAAACACATGACCATTATTTCATCAAATATTTAAACCACAAGAGAATGCACTCTCTGTATATGCTTTTCTCTTTCTTTTTTCAATTCTCAGAGAGCCTGACCCCAGTTCCAAGGATGCCAGAATACCAGTGGAGCACCTGCCCAGGTTTGTGAGTATGGGCTTTGTTGCAGATCAGTAAGTAGACTGTGATTAGTCAGAAATTGCAGTACTTTGTTAAATGCAGCTATTTTACCGGGTGCTGTTCCGTTACGAAATTTGCCAGCATATGTAATAAACACAGTTGTGTGCAAATCTGCAAAATGTTCTGCATGCTGTAGTTCTGTGCAGATTTTTGTGCAGAATCAGATTTTTAAACTGTTTTAGATTTTGACAGTTTGCAAAGAACTGAGAACTACACTACACTGTTTGGGGTTTTAAAATAAATGGGATGCTTCTATTCAGCGAGGACACATTAAAGTGATCAGAAGTGACAGTAAAAATGTTTACATTGTTATGAAAAAAAACCCAGTTTTAAATAAATGCTGTTCTTTTAAACTTTTTTTTTTTTTGATTCATCAGAGAACCCTGAAAAATGTATCAGTTTCCACAAAAATGTTAAGCAGCACAACTGTTTTCAACATTGATAATAATAAGAAATGTTTATTGAGCACCAATGTTATGCTGTGCGCATATCAGGATGATTTCTGAAGGATCATGTGACACTGAAGACTGGAGTAGTGATAGCTGAAAATTCAGCATTGCATCACAGGAATAAATGACATTTTTAAATATATTAAAATAAAACAGTGATTTTAATTTATAATAATGTTTCACAATATTACAGTTTTTACTGCATTTTAGATCAAATAAGTATAGCCTTGGTGAACATTTTTTCAAACACATGAAAAAATTATGTTGCATTAAAAAAAATTGTGTAGTGTATGTTGCATTATTAAAAGAAAAAAAAGACACAGTTACTTAGACTGCCTGCTTCAACTCACAACTCTTCCAAACATCACCCATTACTGCCAGCATATCAGGAATTATGTCCTGTGCTGCAACAAATCTAATCAGATGCTGCTGGAATGCATACCTCTGGTTTGCTTTACTGTAAACATACTGTAAGGCTGTATAATTTAGAGAGGTAGGAGGGTAGTCATGTAATACGAAATTGGGGCTGCTTTGGTGCAAGAAACCTCAACAAGCATTATAACTGGACTTCATGGGGAAATTAAAAAAAGATGTAAAGATCAATACAGATATAACTTGAGAATAGTAACACTTTTTCTCCAGCAGTGGGCAGCATATATCCACGTGTTTAATATTTCATGTTCAGGATGTTAGTTTTGTACTTTATGTTTATAGGTGTGACAGAAGAGGTTGTAATGGATTGCTGAGGCCTCATGTGGTTTGGTTCGGAGAGACTCTGGATTCAGATATTCTCACCGCTGTGGAGCAGGAGCTGGAAAAATGTGATCTCTGCTTAGTGGTGAGTGATAGCAAATGAATGCATAAAACACTAATACAGAACCAAGTGAGCTGACTACCTAGAAAGGATTTTAAGGCATCAAGAATAGGCCTATTCCAGAAACCTTACTCTGCTGTTTATAATGCTTTATTTTGATGAAATCCAAAATTCACATTACATGTTTTTATTTTTAGCTTACTAAAGTATTGAGTTGTTAGCTTAGCAACAGGCTAAAACCAAACTCCATTAGAATGAGTTACCAGAGATCAGTCAGTAATTTTCATGAGCCTTCAGCATGCAAAAAAGAAAGGAAAGCTATCTTGCAGTTTATTAAGTGAGTCAGATGTTGATTTATTGACCGCTCTGATGAATTTAGTGAATTAATTCAGTGAAAGACTCTTCAAGCCAGTAATATGAGTTAAAATGAATCACTTAAAGAGGCTGCTCAAATGGGTAATTCGTTCACGATTCGGACGTCACTGGAGTTTTTTTTCAGTCTTTTTATCACATCACATTCAATTCAGCCTGCAAAATTACATTTACAATTGGAGTAAATGGGATTTATGTTTTTTACACTGTGGCTCTAGAGATTCAGCATTGCAGGAAACCCTGGCATAACAGCAACATAATAAATACTCTTACAATACTATTACAAAATTATACTGGTTAACATATTTATACCGTTTTAAATGTAGGTTTGCGAGGTCTGTGACTAAGAAGGTAGCTGCCTAAAATATTTACAACACAATATTGTCAATCCCTCATACAGATGCGTTTGTGTTGACAGCTTTATAGAAAGAATTTGTCACCTCCAACTGTATTCTGTGTTTGTCACATTGTTTTCTTGTCTCTAGGTGGGCACCTCCTCCGTAGTTTACCCAGCAGCCATGTTCGCTCCTCAGGTGGCAGGTAGAGGAGTGCCTGTAGCTGAATTCAACATGGAGTGCACACCTGCTACTATGCGCTTTAAGTAAGACATACAAATACACAAACTATCACTTTACACGAGTCACAGAGATGCCTCTCAGTCAGCCCATTCAACGGGATAACGCATAGCTTCTCTATTGCGCACAAGCCTCCACATACGCACAGACTCTAAGTGACGTCTCTCGCTGTCGCATTTGAGCAAACACTGAACGGTACATTTCACAGAACAAATTGAACACCTGCGTGTGGGTTATTTGAGATGTGTTTCTCACCAACAGATATCACTTTGAGGGTCCTTGTGGTGTCACACTGCCTCCTGCCCTGGAACGCCACGAGAGCGAGGCCATTTAAGGAGAGAGAAGGCATGACCCATTCGTTCATGCCTACTGCATAGAGCACTTGAACTGAGAGCACATGGGATTGGTTCATGCCTTCATGTGATTGGTTTTCCTGTGGTTTGTGTGCTATGAAGATTTACAGCAAAGGCTGAAATTAAATTTTAAATAGTGTCTTTTTGAGTGTTTTCTTGGCCTGTGTAGGAGCGTTTTGTGCAAGTTGTGTTTTTGGCATTGGATCTTAGTGGATTTGTGATTCATGGGTAATTAATTTACAGTGTTTCCACAGTCGTGGAATACCTGGGAATTTAAAAATCGTAATTTCCAGACTCAGAAAAGTCAAGGAAGATAATAGTTTTAAAGAGTTCTGGAAATTTCCATCATGAGTAAGTTTTCAATGTGATCACCTCTGAAATATTTCATCAGCTAAAAATAACTGGCTGGAAAAATCATGAAAATTGATTGGTCAAATGTTGTTGGTACCCTGAATGTACATGTAGGACTAGACACTAATGCAATATAATGATTTTGAATGAGCTGTAACAGGATGAGCACAGACAGACACAATGGATGTGGAATCAGAAGTTTTATTTGAAATAAAATAACCATAAAATAAAGTGTCCAAGGGGAATACTTAAAAACACATGAGTACATGAACAAGATTTATGACTGGTTTTCCTTTAAATTCTATTGTTAGTGTTAGGTTATTAAAGGGATAGTTCACCCAAAAATGAAAATTCTATCATTAATGACTCACCCTCATTTCGTTCCGAACTCATAAGACCTTCGTTCATCTTCAGAACACAAATTAAGATATTTTTGATGAAATCCGAGAGCTTTCTGACCCGCCATAGACAGTAAAATGAAGTTCTTAGCAATGCATATTACTAATCAAAAAGTAAGGTTTGATATATTTACGGTAGGAAATTTACAAAATAACTTCATGGAACGTCTCGGTTACGTATGGTAACCCTCGTTCCCTGAAGGAGGGAACCTGGTTTTGTGGTCCAGGGTCACAAAAATGAAAAAAAAAAAAAAGCTCCAGGTTTGCTTTACTTCTTTGTAGGGCTGCACAATTTGGCCAACACTAATTAAAAAATGAATATATATCAATATGACATTTAATATGATAATAATATTATTGTTTTATTATGATTGTAGTATACAGTATATATATTAAATTATAATATTCTTATTGATTACCATTATATGACTATTATTACTAAATAAAACTACTGTGTTCAACTAAAGAAATATTTTTTTAATATTTCACTTAAAATAATTTTTATTTTACTTTTCAAAATATATATTTTTTTACAGTACAACAGTAAAATTACAATACTAATCTTTATTATAGTGAAAAGATGCAGGGACTGGGAGCCCTAAAAATGTCTCATTTGTTGATAAGTGCTTCTCATTACAAGTGTGGAAAGATGGTTGGCACATGTTGTGTTCCCAAATGCACATTATAAATGACCCAAACTCAGAGCACATGCCGAGATGAGTTTGCATAGAGCAGCATTTACTACAAACTGAGCTGCTCTGAAACACTGAACACACTGAATCATGAGCTGCTTGTGTGTAAATGAACACAGTGCCTAATTTCAGTCTACACATACACATATTTATTTGCATCGCAGATTTTGCCATTTGATAATCATGCTACAGTGAGCCATATTTCGATTTTATTTAGTTTCGCACAGCCCTAGTTTGTGTTTAAGGTTGACTGCAAAATTTGTCAGAGATTACTGTTTAAATTGTGCCACTTTTAGCCAGTGGTTGGGATATGTTGGCATATGTATCATGAGCTGTATATGTATGTATGAGTGTTTTTTTTTTGTTTTTTTGTCAAAGTCAATAGATGATTTTGAGTGACTCTGTGTGTGTTTGTGTGCATGCACCTTGTGGCATCGGGTCACCTTGATTCTGTCTAGTCCGATGCCAGATTCCACGGTCCAGCTGGAAATCTCTCTCTCCTCTCCCTCTCTCTCTTTCACTGGCATGACTTGTACAACCAAGCAGAATAAAAGCTGCATTTTGTTTGACACCTCCTGGTCCAACTCGGGTGTCCTGCTTACCTGCATATGTATACAGATTCATCCTTGCATGTTAACACGAGATTGTGGAATGATGCTGCGTGAATCGCTTGACTTATCTGACTTACAAATGTGCAACAGAATGCACATTTGCGTCTAAGAAATTGAATGTGTCTTCACAGACTGACACTGTTACTAAAATGCTGTTTTGGTGTTTATATGTGCGAGATGGGTAAGGGGGGTGGTGGGGGGTGGTTGTACGTCGGTGTTTGTAAATGATAAATGAGTGTGTAGTTTTGAGGTGTGTGTAACCGATCGCTGTTGGTGTGTGTGCATTTGGTCTCCTAGAGAGACTGGCTCATTAGTTTCTGAGGCGATGAGAGAGGTCTGCTCCAAAAATAACACACACCATTTCCTGTCCATTAAACCACAATTTCACACCAATCTGAGCTTAACGACGTACGTGCGCGCATGCACAATAAATATCTCCCCTGACATACGCTTAGCCTCTAAAATCCTCTGAGACACACAACATCAATCCTACACACACATACACGCATGGTCCCATTAAATATCGATTTCACACCAATCTGAGCGTCTCCCCAGTCTGGGCTTGTCAGAGGACAGGGATAGAGAGATGCAGGGGAGGGAGCAGGAGGATAGGAATGGAGTGATGGAGAGGAGGAGGACACTAGTGGGAGAGACGTTTGGTGTGATATGGATCTTGTTGTGTTTCTGCATGATAATTACTTTTTTGTTCCATATTTTGACAATTTGTTGATAGTTATAATAAGAGAGTAAGTTTTTTTAATGTAATTAGTTTTTAGTAGATATTGTTTTAGATTAATTCCTGGATAACTTCTTAGAAAATATACACCGTTCCAGCAACTGAAAATCTCGAAATATCAGAAAATTGGAAAATGGTCATTTTTAGGCCTGGAAAGTAATTATTTAAAAGTCATTAAAATTAATAAAAGACCATTGAAATTTCTACTCTGAATAATAATTTTATTACTGCAATATCAGAAAATTGGAAAATGGTCATTTTTAGGCCTGGAAAGTAATTATTTAAAAGTCATTAAAATTAACAAAAGACCATTGAAATTTCTACTCTGAATAATAATTTTATTACTGTTGTCGGCTCTATAATATTTAATTGACTAGAAATTGTGTGTGAGTGCAGTCTCTGTAACATGATTTTAAAGTTGACATGAAATTAAAAGTAACCCAGGTTATTTTCTTGATATATGTAAATGATCTGGTTGAAGTCCATCCATGCATTTATAGTTATTTACCTTTGCATATCTATATGATATTTATATAAATGTCATAGCTTACTATTTTTGTGATATGACCGACTTCTCTGCTGACGTATGCAAGGCTGTGCAATAGTTAAGCCAGTTGCATTCATATCTGCCTCCATTATGATATGCAATGCTCACTTTTAACACTCCAATCAATACCCGATGGATAAAATAAAGTTCTGTCCTACTTAAAAAAAAAAATTCTGATAATCTGTTTCACTCAAACATAAGTCACAATATGGATGTGCAGTTGGGTTTCATGCCAGCTTCACAAAATCTTTGCCAAGTCATCACAAGCAGCTAAAAAATCATGGCACAGTCATGAAAATTCATTGTTAATATAGTGTGGGAACTCTGAATCTAGGTCTGAAGTGCTGTGAAATTTAATGATTTTTAGAGAGCTGTAGCTGGCTGAGAAAAAAAAAATACAGATGCAGTGTCAGGCCTAAGAGAGGCTTCTCAAATAAAATAACCATAAAACCCTAAAATAAAGTGTCCATGGCGAATATATAGTATGATTTAAGGTTTGGAAGTGCTGAGAAGGGCGTATGTTCCTGAAGTCCAGGTTGTGTGTTCTTGCAGATCCAAAAAGGGAGCGTTAAAGGATTCTCTCTGGACACTTTATTTTTTTCTTTTTAATGTTTTATGTTACTTTTATTTAAATTAAATGCCTCTATGAGGCTGTGTGTCACACGCATTGTGCTTATCCAGCCACAAGGGCATCATTTAGGAAGAATGAATCAAATACAATCTTTATTTATCACAGCACAACCAGGAACAGTGGAATTTATTTCCATTACTGTCACGTTCTGTGGCCATAAAACAGCACAACATATTACAGGGACAGTCCCTCTGGAGCAACTTGGGGTTAAGTGTCTTGTTCAAGGGCACAACTGTGATGACTTATGACGCACTTCTAATAGGACTCAAACCAGTAACCTTCCGGTTACCAGGCCTGAGCCGTAACCTCTCACAATCTCACAGTGTTTCACCAATCCAGAGACTTTGGTTAATTGCAGAGGTTCCTATACAGTTGTAGCTTAGCTTTCAGGTTTAGCTAAAGAAATGTGAGGCCAAAATGACCAATGTTCTCATGGGTGTCTTTAACATCTGTCTTGGACAACTGTCCCCTCAGGCATCAGGACTGATGCTCTTGAAGTTACCCTTAACTAAGGAGGTCTAATAAACCTGGAGGGAGCTATCCGTTAGCAATCATCTCAGTTCCAGAAACAATTTCTTTAGACAATCATATGATTAGTCACATGCCATTCTTGGCTCAAGTGGTTGGTTAAAAAAATGTCAAGAACTTAGTGTCCTTGAGTAAAACTGAAGGTGGGGAGTATTGGGATTGTTAAAAATGCAAATGAAACTTTCTCCAGGCTTTATAGACCTCCCTGTACCCTTACAAACAGGGTAATGCCGGGTTCACACTGCACGATTTTCAAAGTCATCAGATCGTTGCTTTTCTCACACAGCATGACAGTGTGGAGTTCCATCCAGTTGCTGTTGTGTGCACACTACACAATGGATCGGTGACAGGGGACACATATTACACATTTTCTCAATAGAAAGAATCGCCGATATCTCTGCATCGTCTACATACTACGTTTCACAATCAAACACGCGCGAGAATTAATACGTAATAACGTAAGATCACGCGAGAGACATGCTCGTTCTCATGCGAGCATAGATTTGTTTCTGTCAAAAATGGCAGCCTGCAAAAAGCTTGCAATCCAAGTTGTCTCTACACTGATTTGCAATGAAAAATAAACAAAGAAGAATATGAAAGAGAGAATGGTTGCTTGCAGAAATCACGCATGCTGATGTTTTGTTGCAGATCTATGACTCCTCCCACTGAACCTTCCCTTGCCCTGTCTCTTGCTCTCTCATTGGCTGTAGGTCATCACTGATGTCATTTCCAGTCAAAACACATTTCACACCACAGAACTATGAGTCGCCGACAGGTCCAGATATTTAGGGTGGCCACATATTTGAAGATTTTAAGCCCGATTTGCACCCCGAACATTCGAGATTCGAGACTTGTCGCAAAACTTTTTGTCCAAAAATCCTCTATTGTGTGGCGTCATTATGATTATTTAACTACTTATTTAACCAATTGAGACAGAACATCCCCGAACTCAAATCATGAATATCAAACATGTTTGATATTTACGACACTTGATCAGGTTGCCTCTGATGTGATAGCAGCGATAGCCAATGAGAGCGAGCAAGTGTCACATACTACTGGATGTCGCGTGCTTTTATAGCTGAAACTTGGCAGCCACAAACATGCTACGAAAGTATAGTACTGAGAAAGAACATCACGCATATTCTTTTTTTCTATTTTGTTTAACAGAATGCTTGCTAGGAGAAATAGTTGACAACGTTGATTATCCTCCATATGTTTTTCTTCTCTAGTCACATTTGATCTCATGGTTAAAACTGTCTTCATGACTGTGGTCTCCCATGGTTTTAAAATCGGTTAAGATTTGAAAATCTAGTGTGTCCCAGGCCTTAGCATGCCAAATATCTCACGGGCGTCGGTGACACGTCGGTGCTTTTTTCAGATTGTGTCTTTGATAACACACTATGTGATTGTCACTTGAACAAGCACCAATTTGCCTTCAGTTTTGGGTATTTGTCATTGATTTCCACAAAACTGTCGGTGAGTGAACATTGGGGCTAAAATCGTGCAGTGTGAACCCAGCATAAGACCGAAGCGAACCAGCCAAATACTGACCCCTTCCCCTGCCCCCAAGGGGTTCTTTTTGTGGTGCCCACAAACTTAAACGGGTGGTTCTTTAACTGTAGTGACCCTGATGATGTCTAGGACAATGGGGTTGTTAGAAGGTCAAGGAATACTTTCCTTGTGGATTTTTTTTCAGTTTCTATTTAATGACTCCGTTCATTCTACTTGACCTGAAAGGAATGACCAGTCAGTGTCCATTAGCTTAAGATGCCTTCCAAAAAATTTGCTTAAGATGCCTACTTCCGTTGGCAGTAAAGTGTGTACCCTGATCTGAGTGAATGTGATAGGGGCTCCCCAGTGGTGGATGAGAAGAGTACAGTGAGCAAATACAGTTTTCACACATCCAGAAAACTGGTGTCCCCTTGCCACTTAGAGGTAAAGCATGATCCACTTGTTGACACTGACATTGATATGCAAATATTTTCAAAGAAATGTGAGTCTTCATATTTCCCTTTTGTCAGGGAATGTTGGGTAACAGAGTCGGAACCCTTTTTTGTTTTTATTTATTTTATCACCAAGTTGTTTGCAAAAGTTGCTGATAGTCCTACAGGGGGATTTCGTAATAGTTGCACCAAAAGAGAAGCTGGCCATCTGGGCCATATCGTTTTAATGCCAAGTAGGACATACAGGATCATGAGATTCCACTTACGAATGCCATCACCTTTGACAGCATCCCCTTCAGGCTCTGGTCCTTTGCAATATTTTTAGAAGTCGCTTCCGGAGAGGAATTAGTTCTGGATTGAGGATGGCATAATCAAGGAGATCAATCGAGGTAGGTCTGCAATTAAAGTATACCCAGGGTTATGAATTCATAACCCTGGGTATACTTTAATTGCAGACCTACCTCGATCTAACCCAGTACACTGTAAGAGCACATTCATGATGAGTAGTGCAACCAAGGGTGCGGAAATAGTCTTATTGAAGCTTATAGTCCTCACCATTGCAATCTTTGGCATCTACAGTGTTGCATGCTTTAAGTTGTCCTGTGAGGGGGTGGGAATTTCAGCCTGACAGAATGCAGTGTTGTTCAAACCTGGATACAAATTATTAATGCATCCTCAAATTTCCAAGTAGAGATGTCAGTTGGCCAATGTGTTCATTAAATGAAAAAGTAATGTATTGATGCACTTTTGAGAAAGACAACTTATGCTTTAAGCAAATTTGCTGTGTAGGAAGTAAATGGAATTGATTTGGAATATTTGGAATTCTGAGCACTGACTGTTGCACTGAAACTGAATGTTTTTTTGGTTTGGCTTTCACCAAGGGCAGTCTGGTGCATGTGGCTTCTGTATTAGAGCAGGAGGAAGTCTCAACACTTTACTGTGATTCTCAGCTAGGGGTTGGTGAAACATGCAGTGATTTGTCAGCCTGGAAATCGAACAAATCTCTCAGTTACCCTTTTTCAGGGGTGCCATTCTGATGGATTGTTTTACTAAGGTCCTTTTTTTCTTCAATGTCAAAGATAAAATAAATAAATGTATTAAGAAGTGGTGGGATAGTACAAATAATAGTAATTAGTACAAGATACAAAATATCACACCAGAAAAACTTACAATTTTGAACAAGTATAGACAGTAAAATCAAAGTAGCACAAGATATTGCCAATATTCTATAATACATAATGTGTAAAAGATACATAAGAGTGTAAAATTAAGTATTGGATATTAAGTACTTTCTCTGGTCGTACCAGAAAAAAGTAGGACGAAGATACATTTAGGACTATTAATGGGAGAAATCCAAACCTAATCAGACACAACGTGACCAGAAATGTGTCTATTCACACTGAAAGTCAAAACAGAGGTTGACCTGACAATCAATCACAAAAAAAGCCAATCTGAGCATTTCTCTCTGTTTGCACACTCTCTCAAACCCACCAAAGAATGTAAAGCTAAGAACACATACCTTGTGTTTTCACAAATTCTGTAATGCTTCAGCAGATTGGATGCTTTGTTGAATTTGTCATCAATCAGATAATTTCTGGTTCTAAACTTTGACAATTAGTATATCCTTGTACATTTTTGGTAACACTTTATTTTAGGGTCTCTAGTTGCTTATTAGCATGCATATTCCTAGAATATTAGCCATTTATTAGTAGTAATTAAGCACATATTAATGCCTTATTCTACATGACCTTATTCTACATCCCTAATCCTAACCAATACCTAAACTTAACAAATACCTTACTAACTAATAAGCAGCAAATTAGGAATTTATTGAGGGAAAATTTGTGAATAGTGAATAAGTGTTCCCTATTCTAAAGTGTTACCCATTTTTTATATTTAATATACAAGAGGAGCACTAATTCAATCTAATGAGCATTCGGTGTGAATGGGATTGGCCCACAGCTGATATAGAAACCAAGCGATACTACATTTTATCACAGATTTTTTTGTATTTATTTTTTTATTTTGTGTGTGTGTGTGTGTGGGGGGTTTGGGCAAAAAACATGTAAATTAAAAAAAAAAAGATACTTTTTTTATAGTACTACTTGAAATGGAAGTATATAACCTATTTTTCAAAATAGGTTTCTACAGTACAGGTTATCAGAAGTTCTTCACTTTATTTTCTGTTCTTTTAGGTTCATCCTGTAATGTTTTTTGGAGAGTTAGCTCATGCATTCTAACAAAGAGTCTCTCATTATCACTTTGTTCTTACAATAGAGACAGACTATACTTACATTTGAGTGAGGAAGTCAGTCTTTGGAAGAACTAAAGCAGTAACAATCCATAGTCCTTGTATAAACCATAATCCTACACAGTCATAAGAGAGAAGTGAGGTTATGGTTGAAGAAATGAAGAGAGCATGTGAAATTCTCTCACGGCTCTGGAGGGAAAGGGCAGGTGGTGAGTGGGACTGAGATAAAACATTGCCGACATGAAGAAGGGTCACAGTGACTGGAGGGGAGGGGCAGCTTCTAGTAAACACAAGGCCAAGATGTTTACCAGCTTTCTGTGTAGCAGAGAATTGATAGACAAAGAAACACAGGATGATGTTTGTGAAAACTGGATGATTGAGCAGTTTGTTCACATTTTAGGACTGACAAGTTAGTTGCAAGATAGTAGGACATGACTGTTTTTGCACCATTTATGATCATAGTATATGTGTATATGCACATGTAAATAAAAGCCTGAATATTACCTCCTCTTGTTCGCTACTTAGTCAATGACACTGATCTCACTTTCTGACATGTTTGTATAAAATGAGTAATCTGTTCAGTCTGACAGTCAAATCACATATTGAGCTGATAGCATAAGCTAATATGTGCAAAGGGTTGGTGAAAAAATGGATATTTTTAGCCTTGAATGATCAAAATTTGTGTCCTGATCTTAGTCTGGGGGAGAAAAAAATGCAACAGCTCGTTCAGGCTTAGCAAATTGACAGAGAAACCCAGCCCACTGGCAACACTTCCAATGAGCCATGGACAGAGTGTCACCCTATATTACATTTAAATTTACATTTATGTTCTTTACAGAACTGATTTGCAAGAAAATGCATGTCACATACATATGTGTATATGCACATGTAAATAAAAGCCTGAATATTACCTCCTCTTGTTCGCTACTTAGTCAATGACACTGATCTCACTTTCTGACATGTTTGTATAAAATGAGTAATCTGTTCAGTCTGACAGTCAAATCACATATTGAGCTGATAGCATAAGCTAATATGTGCAAAGGGTTGGTGAAAAAATGGATATTTTTAGCCTTGAATGATCAAAATTTGTGTCCTGATCTTAGTCTGGGGGAGAAAAAAATGCAACAGCTCGTTCAGGCTTAGCAAATTGACAGAGAAACCCAGCCCACTGGCAACACTTCCAATGAGCCATGGACAGAGTGTCACCCTATATTACATTTAAATTTACATTTATGTTCTTTACAGAACTGATTTGCAAGAAAATGCATGTCACATAGCCAAGACTGCAATAATGGCAATGCCACATTACTGCAAGTTTGTATGCCTTGTAAATGCTTTATACCTTACAACTGCAACTTTAAACTGAAATATATTTCTCATAATCATGAATTTGTTTATCGTAATTGTACCTTTATCTTTTTATACTAAGTGTGACTTTAAATCTCACAATGTGAGTTTATATATCACAATGAATATATCTTGTAAAGGCAACATTATTTTTCATAATTGTGTCTTACAATATAACATACTATATCTTATTTCTCGTAATTATGAATATATTTCTTGTAATTACAACCTTATTTTCAGTGATTGTGAATTTATTTCTCATATTTTCACCTTTATATCTTGTAATTGTGACTGTATATCTTGCAACTTTATTTTTTAACAATTTTGTTTTTATTTCTTGGGATTGTAGGTTGTATGGTATTTATCATAATTATGTCTATATATTTTGCAATTGCGAGTTTCGCGTAATTGTGAAAATACCATAATTGCGGCGTTTATATCGCACAACTTGACTTGATACGGCACAATATGATTACATACCATAATTGCATTTTCATAATGGCAACTTTATATCTTACAACTGAAAAATAATTTCTCATAATCATTAATATATTTCTTGTAATTGAGACATTATTTCTCGTAATTTTGAATTTTCTTCTCATAATTGTAATTGGGACTGTATATAACTATTTTTCGTAATTGTATCTTTATTTCTCGGAATTGCGGATTAATAAATTAGCATCTATATAATGCACAGCTGTGACTAAACCTGCTTAATTTCTTGTAATTGTAATTCTTTATAACATTTCTTATTTTAAATCTCACACTTGCCTTTTTTATTGTTTAATCTTGAGGAAACATAATTTTCAATAGAAAATTTGAAATATAAAATCCAAAATATTACTTTATTAATTTCAACTGAATTGTAGATAATTACATTTTTCACCTGCATCTCAAAAAGTTCTGTAATTTGATAAATTATGGTTTCAGATTGCTTCTCTCTTTAATGCTTTAGGTCAGGTAAAAAGGTCAAGGCCTCTCTAAAAGCCACCTTGATTCTGCTTTTATGTATCAGCTTCTGTCTCTGAGCATCAAGCGGAAACACACACACAAAATTATTGATCCCACTTTTGAGCAGGACCTGTGACTCAAATGACCCTCATTTCTTATTGAATCCAGGTGGCGTGTACCACAAATGTCCTGTGTGTGTAAGTAGAGCTAACACACTGCTCTATTCACAACATACACAGAATCACACACATGTCTGCTCAGGTTTGTGTGTGTCTCACAGGGCCCTTGTGCAGATTAAGAGATTTATAAATAGAGAGAAAAAAGCTTTGCTTAGAGACTCAAATCTCGGAGCCATGCGCGGATTGCTGCATCCCTGTGG